GTTGTCTAGTACTTTTACTTTACTTACTTCTTACTTAAAAAAAAAAAAATAAAAAAAAAAAAAAAAAAAAAAAAAAAAAAAAAAAAACTTAAAGTTACAGAAATTTTTTTTTTCGCTCGCAAAAATTCGCGAATTAGCGGCGGACGCCACGTGAAATGTTGAATCTCCGTTTAGAATGTCGGCGATACTCCCTGAGCGCGCGGCATCATTCGGAATTCATTCGCCAACGTCTTATTTCCTTCGAGACGGATCGAAGGTCGACATCGGGGTTCCGAAATGTTCCTCTCACGGATGAATTTTACATATTCCAGATTTTCCGCGCGATTACCCCCGCACGAATGACAGAGAATTCCTTCTTTCTACGCGTAATTACCCGCCGTTGCCGGGGGCGCGACGCCACGTTAACGCGCGGCTCGTAATTTTAACAGCGGAGAAATAACAAAGCCGCATATGCAAGAAGCGCTAATTTATCGCACAACCCCGCCGCCCCCAAAGTGACACAAGTCATAAAATAAAAGCTTCCAAAAGAGTGACAAATTATAAAAAATACGTAATTACATTAACGTACATTGTAATATGTCGCTCGCGTTATAGTCAACTTGTATACTACTCTACGCGCGCGCATACATCCCTTGAATACAATATTAAATTTCACTACACGAAAAAGCATGGTTATTTTCATATTTGTTTGAACGGGGCTAAAATGATGTATGCAATTTTACTTCCATCGTCAAACATGATATTTATGATATATTTATTTGTTTCAAAATTGTTCCGTATAGTCTCGTCGGCGACTCACTAGTCTAGTCGGCGACTAAATTGAAAGTTAAGATTCATAATTGCGATTTTCATAACGATGTAATAAACATTATCGTATGATCAAAGATGAGAAGCAGACGGTACGAATATGCAAAATCGTGCGGACGTAGAAAATTGCAATCTCTGCGTCATAATGGAGTTGTTTGCGAGTTTTGATCAAACGGTTTCGTCAGTTGTCTCGTCGAGAGCAAACCACCATGAATCTAGGGACGATGGGTTAATGGGGATGGGAGCCGTACAAAGGTTCGCCTGAAAACCGCAACATGTGGGAGTACTCGCAAGCATATACGGGAGAAAATTTTTTTCAAGTACGCATCAATGCGCGTTTCTCATGTGTGTAAGCAAAGGGACAAACTTTCCGCGTCCTTTGAAAAATATGTTTAACGTAAAAATGTATATAATTTATAATCTAGTCTACGGGGATAAACAATAATATTGAATAATAATTTACACCGTAGCATTTTAATAATCGATGACTTTCAGTACACGTGATAATAACTATTGTTTATGAATATTATCGTGACTAATAAATATTCATTATCTTTAATGATTTTTAATAATTATTAATTTCACCATACTACAGAAAATGATTGTTATATTTGTCCAATGTGTTTTCACTGTTATCTCACATGAGAGGAATCAAAACTTGTATATTGTTTTTAATTATAATCAGTGATTAATTATTATTTTGTTTTACATAATGAGATATAACTGTTCATCCGATTTTCGCATATAAAATGAAACGGTGAATAATACAAGAGTTGGAAAAGAACACAACTAATGATCACAACTAATGATCATGAGTGCATATGGCTGAGCAAAGATGTACCTTTATTACAATGATAATCATAAATTTTCTAAATGTCGGATGTAAAAAATTTTTGAATGTTGTTCTTTTTCATTTTCTTTAAATATTTGAGAATCTTATGTAAATTACTATAACATAAAAATAATAAATTAATATAATACAAAATTTTATATTATAAGTAATATAAAATTAATAATATAAAATCAATTATAAATATATTTATTATTTAATTTTAAATAAAAGTGAATTTTATTTAATAACATTGTTAGATCCCCCTCTTTCTCTTTTTCTCTTATAAACGTAACAAACATTTTCTTTGCCAATATGAAGCCAATTATTCGAGCCAATAAATCATCGGTGTCATTAGAATAAGTTTACATTCGAATGCGTTCGTCATAGCGTGTAAAAAAAAAAAAAGATTATGGAAAATCATACGATATGTGAATATTATAAATTCAGCAGGCGGCCGCGGAAAGTAAATCGCGAGGGGTAACTCGAGAGAAGATCGAAATGCTTTATAACATCGTAAACAAAGCCTCTTTTCCGATTTCACGATTCTCCCAGGGCGCGTCAGACGAGAGTTTTTTTTACACTCTCACGGCGTCGTAAATCTTCGCTCTCGCATTAACGGCAACGTGAAAGCACTGAGAAGAGCACTCGCACGAGAGGACGTGGATATCTCGTATTCGCCCCCAGACGTATTCACTGTTTATATCGTCTTACGCCCTTCTCCCATACTTGATAATTTTATACAATAATCCCCTTACTCCTAATACCCGCAACTTGTGGCTGCAGCTTGTGGCTGCGTTGTCATTCTTTACATTTAAAACACATTTAGAAGAAAATAGCACGAAAAAGGGAGTAAAACCAAAAATTTCATAACATCTTTATTCAAATGCAATAAATAAACGTGATCTTTCGAAGCAGTTGATTGGATTTTTTTTGTTTCCCACGCATTATATAATTATTGATCCTAATCCTTTACTGTAATTACATTAAATCCTACGCCGTCATTCTCCTAAAATTTATGACGATAATAAAGATTTTATATATATATATATATATACATGATTACAGGCTTTCAGACACGACAATCGCCAAACGAAGGTTTCTTTATTGGACAATCCAATTTTAGAGTTACCACACGTGCACGCGAGCCGGGTATCCACGTGAATATTTCAAGGATTAATTAACTTGCCTTCAAGGGTGGTCTCGTCGGATCTTTCCGCAGTTCCGCGAAACGTGCCTCGAAACTGTCATCCCAGTATTCCCGACTCCGCATCCATGAGGGCTGCAACAGAGGGTAAACAATCGTTAGAAATTTCGTGGTCGGACATTGCTGCACGGCTAATAAAACGAGAACGCGGCGAAGACGTAAATTTGCCGAACGTCCGCGCACTCACATAACATGCGTAAAATATATACGTATGTTGTGTCGTGAACGTTTCTCGTTCGGCCAAGAGTCAGAAGCGTTGATGAATGTCGGTAATTCCGCGACGAGAGATTTAATCGATCTCGCTCGCTTTTAATTTAATTGTGCCTCGCGCTTAAATGCATGTACGATACGAAATTGCCGCCCTACATCTTCCACGAAACTCGACTACTACGATAGATCCGATAATTTTACGAGTGTTTGTAACGTTAATGTTAATTTATGCTCCTTCCAGAATTTCATCTGACTCATACGTCCGCCGTTTTTCCGGCGCGGGTTTCAGCTAAGCGCCAGCTTTATTAATTTACCTATATACCCCGCGTCGCGATACGAGCCGCTGTGTCGAACTACGTAACGACGGAATATATTAAATCCACTCGCGGCTGCCGCTTTTTCCCCCCTAGCTAGTTCGCGTGCATCGCTTCTTTTTATTGCCCCGCGCTAATAACGGCTTTATCGCGGTAATAGTTTTGACGCGATACTTTGTTGATAAGGTAAACGCACCCTGCGAAATCACGATGACGTTGACTTTACACGAAAGCTTCCCTTTCCATTGAGATTCCCTCGCGCTGATCTTACGACAAGCGTGGCTTTAGATAACAAAGGCAACGTTACCGCGGCTCCGTTCGATAGGTATAAAAAGTGCATAACGTGTTTCTGAAATTCTTGAATGCCTCTCAAGCCCAAGTGCGAAGGAGGAAAAGACGAAGAAAAAAATTCAAAATGTTTTAATTACCGATACCTCAATAATTAAAGCTCTATTTCACGGTAAATATTAAACATTTTTACAAATAAGACATTAGATTCTGAAAGTCCAGGTGAAAAAAGAATATTATTAATTTTAATATGTATTTAAATCTCGAAATCTGAAGAAAAATATGCTATGTGACTTTTTATGGCATTCAGATCTATTTAAGAAAAAATGTTTCGCTGGTCCAGTTAGAATTCTAAATATTATAGTTTAGATGTACAATTAAAATCGCAATTTTTTTATATCTGCCGAAAAATTGTCTGTCGTACGTAGAATTTGGCAACAACATTTAACAATATATGCAAGAAAATTTAGATTTCACAATCAAATTATATAGCCACTTTATAAAAGATATGAGTGGTCATTCTCTGATTGTGAATCGTAGAAAGTCGTGCTATAAATTTAACAAATTATTCAGATATAAATTCTGTCTTTGTCATCTATATCGATTAGACATAAAACATATGCGGCGTCGCAGTGCTTATTCATTTCAGCTAATTTTTCGCATCTGTCTAGACAGATTTTCGCTATGATCATCAAGATGATTTCTTTTCAATCTATATTTACTTAAATCTTTTGAATGGTAAACGCGAGAGTCATTCGGCAAATGCTCGATCGTTCGTGGAATTTGCGCCAACGGCCGGATGCGACTTTCGAAACACCCTGTAGAAATGGCAATAATACCGCTTGAATACGGTGCGAATGGGAGCCAGGATGGGGAGTAATGAAGTAGAGCGAAATTGGAATTCGCGAGGAATCTGATCCGGCCGGTTCTAAACATCGATTACGCGAGTCCGGGCGGGCCGGGCTGCGCATCGGAATAGATACCACAAAATTCAAAGACTTCCGCTTCCGACGCGCTCCGCAACCGCAGAAAATCCCGGGCGGCCGCGCCGCGGCGGCGGCGGCGGCGGCGGCGGAAGGAGGTATAATATAATATCAATCGGGCCATTAAATTTCGACGCTGCGCCTTCGTGCCTGCCAATCAAGGTAATGTTTTAACAGCCGAAATGCCCGTTACGAAGTGACCGCAGAGTGAGCGCAATAGCGTGGAATCGGGTCCTACGTTGATAATTAATCATCCGTGCATCTCTCCCGATAGAGCGGCTGTAATAACGCGAAATACGAGACTCATAAATTGACGCTGTTGCAAACTGAATATCGTAAATTATACTCGCTAAGCGATGAAATTAAGGTAATCGATGTAACTCGTTTCGGCCGTAAGGATCTCAATGTGGAGCATCCGATTTACATTTGTGAAACATGTCTTGTCTTATTTTTTTTTTTTTTTTTTTGTAAAACGTGAGTGGTAAAAAATAACCTTAACAGGAATATTAATGATGTATTTAATTTTAATTCGTTCATTTTCTAATTAACAATTTATTCGCAGGATTTTTTGAGTTCATCGATTTTAGCAGAAATTATTGAAATACGTTGAATATGTGAAAATTTATCATAGAAATCTAAACTATTACGAATAATGTAATAATACATAACTATGTATTTTACAATTAATTTGGAAACATCATCAAATTTCCAATTATCACAAAATTAGTGACTTTCAATTTGTATATTACCTCTGGAAAAATAATCCCCTACAAAGGAGACCGTGATGGCACAATTATCGCGTATTAAAACAAACTGAGGGCGGCCAGGGACGATTCCCGTTTTAATTTCCATCAATAGCAAGCCGAGCGTATTAATCACCATAAATCCGGGCGCAGATAAAGCCGAGTCAAAATTAAATCCCAAGTGAGGAGCTCGTCCATCGAGCCCAACGGACTCACCATCGAGATATATCCTCCCGAAAGGTCTTCTTCCACGGAGCTCTCCGATTATCCGACGATCGGTCGAGCTTTCTTGTAACGGAGCTTATCCCGTCGACGTTAATTAAACATCGAAAAGCTTCGCTCCCTAATCCATCGACCGAGGTAGCTTCTTTCACCCGAGATTATTTAGCCGGAAAAGAGAGAAGATATTTTCGGATTTTCTGAAGCCAATCTCCTTTCGTCTGCTTCTCCTCGCTCAGATGCTTTCTCCTTAATGGCAGTCAGAAATTTATATAATATTTTTAAGGTAAGTTTTTTTACTTAAAAAAAAAAAGAAAAAAAAAGATAATAATTTACATGGAATAATGTTTTTATTCAAGTCAACATTCACAATTTTCAAATTTCATCTCAAAATTTTGAGATATCCAACAAATTTACGAGGAAATTAATCTGTCGCAAATGAAATTTTAAAATATTATACAACTTGTCTAAATTTTTATGCGAATTGATCGGAATTGTAGGATCGTCAAGTTTTAAGAGCAATTTTAAACGTCTCAAAACAAAACTACAACAACGTCGGTCGATCGCGGGGTAAAATGTTCTTTTGCTCCAATTGCATTAAATATCCCGTCCGTCCGGTACACGGGAGCGAATGAAGATGAAGCGTTTTACGGGGTATCCCGGAAGAGGAGGATATTTCCTCGGAGGATAGCGATCTTAGGAAGATGCCGGGGGATGAGAACGAACGGACGGGTCTTAAAGGGATATCGAAGTAACGCTATCTTATCGACACAAGTCCCGCAGGAGACTCCCGGGCAACTGCGTACGGTTTTACAAGAACCACTTTAACCGTTTTAACGGGAGCTCGTTACTCGTTTCGAAGGCCGATTGCTTCTTTCTTACTTTCTTCTCGTGCTTTCGTCTCATTTGAATCCCGACAACAATGTTTCTCGAACGTCGCGTCGTGCTACATCGATAATCCAGATAATCTGCATAGATCAGAATTAGTTTCTTCATAAATTAGCAAAAGATAATCAAGCTCGATATATGTAAACGAAAAAGGAAAAGAGCAACGATCGCAAAAAAATATGAGCTGCTTAGGAAGATCAACACTTACACAACTCTCGGATTTTCTGAGTACAAATTGAATTTTTATTTGACTTAATGGAAGTATTTAACCGTCACAATTAAAAACTTGACAATTACCCCTCGAGCCATTATCTTTAAGAGAATATACTTTACATTTATTTTAAGAATATTCCAACATTTATTAATACTATTTTTAACGAGCTCCGCCAAATTACTCAATCATTTTTTTCATCTCGGAGTGGAAACAAACGTATCGGTGGGAAAAAAACAGCAAACACCGAAGAGTGTTGTATTTCGCGCGCGTTGTATTTCCGCAGTCCCGCGTAGTCCTGGAGCTTAAGTTTCATTAATTTCCATCCGCATTAGGGGCTGTGTACGTGCTAATGTGTGCGTGGACGTGTACAGCGTGGCGTCGAAGTTAACGGCCGCACGGGCCATGTACGATTCGGCGGGATCGTTGCATCGATCGGGTCGAACGAACGTAACCGGAATACCGCCGCCGCCGCCGCCGCCGCCCGCGCGCGTTTCACGCGAAATCTACCGCACTCGATGGGCCACGAATGGCGGATGGAGGTACGGAATAAGTTTGCGAACGGCGGCGGTAGATTGACGTCCCGCAGATACTCGACGATCGATTCGCGCGCATCGCCGACAGTCTACTCAAAGTTGAAGCGAGGGATCCGTGCGATGCATGCAGCGATGGATTAATAGGCATACGGGGCTGTCAGCTGAGATTTCGAAACTTGCGGGACTCTCAATTCTCGCGGAAATTCGAGAGCGTAGACGTGACCGCTCGAGATTGGTAATTACGAAAAATATATATACGCGTACATGCAACATTCGTCTCTTTGTTATGAATATATTCAAGCACGAGATAACGTGTGACGTCAAAAAAAAAATATATATAGTCTTTTTTCAATATTAATCTTAATATTGCAAGTTATATTGTACCTGAATTCAAAATTGTATGTAGCTGAATTTTTAACTTCTGTAAAAACTTCGTAACCTTAAAATTATTTTTCGAGGAGATTTAAATAAAATTTCATAAAAGATTCTTGTCTTCTCAGTAATGTATGAAAAATGACTTTTATTATATATAACGAAATAATTTTTCTGGGCTTATCTGATTTGGAAACTTTTCATGATTTTATCATTCACTCAAAAAAGTTTTTTTGCTGGGTGTTATTCAATCAAAATATATCGCTGTTTTTTTGTCTGGCTAGAAAATTGTCTGTCGTAGGATTTATAGC